CGAGGACGAACCCCCCCCCAAGATTTCTGGAGGATGAATCAGGGGAAGGCGGGGCCTGAGGACGACCACAGGCAAGAAATCCGACCTCGCTGTATTCCATGTGACCGCCTGCTCCGAGAATCAGGAGCAGCATTCCCCTGATTCATCCTCCAGAAATCTTGGGGGGGGGTTCGTCCTCGGTTTTTGCCAGCAAGTAGTGAGAAATCTCGAGCACTGATCTTCCATGCGCACGTATAAGCTTACAAGTTACATTCACAGACTTTTGGATGAGAGCTATAGGAGCGCGGACTGGGGAGAGGAAAAAAAATCCACCAATCACACTTCTGGGTCCAATCTAACAGCAGCTCATTTTTCCTCAGTGTCAGACCACAACCTGACACCTGGTGCATGTGGAGCACTGGAGCAAAAAGGTAATGGACAGCTAACATGCAATTTTCTATATTGTGCCCAAGAAACTCCCTGCCATCTCCAAAGCTAGAGCACCTGATCATCTCTATGTGCAGGGGGAGCCCGATATAATCCTTCCACCTCTTGCAGCCACGTCGTAAAAGCACATGTCGTACAGTAAATGATGTGCCGAGCTGCAGTACGAGATTGCATTGAGGCTATAAAGACCCCGTACGGCCTTCAGGAAGATGTCCCACGGTGGTCTAATAGTTTCCTGGCAATAAGTGGACTCCTTTTTTTTTTTTTTTTTTCCAGAGAGCAACCGGAGTAGCGTTTGAGGGGATGGGGATGATCGGAGGAGGGCTCGGAGAAAACGAGTAATGAAAAGCAGAGGTGGAAGTAACTCCATCCACACGCAGAGACCGCAGAGGCAAAGCCCCCAATGAAATCTGGTGCTGTGAGGAAGTAGTAGAGTAGAAGGTCACAAAAATGTCCCACGGCCAACTGAAATCTCATTTAGTCACCCCTTATCAAAAATAATGTCAAAATGTTTTTTAAATGTGTATTTCATCACTTTTTTATTATTAAAAAAGGAAAGAAAAAAGGTCTTTGGGGGAAAAAAATCAGGAATGTCATTTACATTGAAGCCGGCTGGAGGGGCGTGTCGGGGTCTGATTGACAGCCGGTGTTACACCAAGGGAACGAGAGACAAAGTAAATAAACTCGCAGTGTAGCCTGCATGTCATCGGCCGAAAGCGTGCTGATGGTGGTGTTGAGGAGTGAGGACCACCACGCCAGCATCTAACTCGGACCGAAGGGACATTTGCAGGTACGTTTACATGCTGTTTGACGAGCTGCAGCTGAGCAGCTAAGTTAATTAAGCATCTAGCGTGCTGAATGTTTGTTCGGTCGCTCGGACGAGACGTGAAACAGTCTGTCTCTTGTTATGAAGCAGGCTGCTATCCCGTCTGCTCAGCCAATGTAGACCAAAATGTACGTAGCAATGTTGAGGGTCTCTTACCAGGAGTTCGTCCATACTCGTCTGGCACTTCTCGAGGTTGATTCGTTTGATGGCCACCTTCTCCTTGCGTGGTACACAGTAGGCAGCTTGAACCACTGCGGTGGCCCCGCTCCCTAAAACAGACAGGAAAACAACACATTATCAGGTTGACTATGATTCATCGTCATCTCAGGCAATAAAAGAATGTTAGTGCGGTTGTGGAACCCAACTTTGGCAACATGCAGCACATTCATTTCAGGTCATATTCACATCCTTAGGCTGCCCGCGCATCTTTTAATTGTTTGGCCCTTCTTTAACCTCTGTCTACAACCAAAAATAATGGCTACTGTAGGATAACAAACCTAACTTTTAGCATTACTTTAAAATCTTCCCGAGTTCAAGAAGGTTAAGCACAGTTCTGCTTTGACAGTTCATCCGATTTTCTCCGTGGCACAGCTTGAACATCATTAATTATGAATCAGATTTCCCAAATGCTGCCTGATGAAGCGGGTCTGATTGGGGCCGGTGACTCCCCAGCGGGGTCCGGTAGGAGGTTTACGCCAGAGAGGACCAAAGCTCAAACCTTATACCTCAAATAAACTTTGATATACTGTTGAAAAAGTTTTCCTTACCACCTTTTCTAAAAGTTCGCTCACAGCATCAGTGGAAGGTTTATGCTAAGTTACATCACAACTTCTATTCTAATGTACTAAACAAACAACACATAGATTATAATCTGATTAAATCCTAAATCCTACAACAGTGGGCTAATCTCTATTTTGAATAATGTGAGTAGAAGCTTGTAATATCCTCCCAGGAGAGGTGCGCCTGTTGTTTCTGCTCTGTGTGAGGTGACTTCACTGCCCCCTCAGTGCTCTTATTTAATGTCACACACACACACACACACACACACACACACACACACACACACACACACACACACACACACACACACACACACACACACACACACACACACACACACACACACGGCTGTTTCCACAAGATCTCTGGAGTACACGTGACGATGAGAGCACATTGTCCTCTGGCAACAGGCTCCGGTGAGTGAAAGAGTGAGTGGTGAGTCTGTCCGCCTTCCAGTAAGCTTTTACTAACCTCCTGTGCCCTCATCTTCATCGCTATGCCCAAATATTAACAAAGTGCTCATTGTTTGGAGATTTCAGCGAGCCAGTTGTGTATGGAGGTTTTAAAAAAAGGAGCTATATAACAGAAAAAAAAAAAAACAGTTCTCTGATTTTAATTAAAAAGAAAAGCTGTCCCTGAAGACATGTCAGCATTTTATTTAAGATAATTATAACTTCAGGCTATATTAGAGACACGGAGAACAAAACAGCATAAACTTATTTAATATAGCAGAGACTGAGATTAACCACAAAGTCTTGTCCTCTAAAATAACCAATAAAATTGCAATTTCCTGGTAATTTCCTGTACTTAACGGACGGTCACTTAAAAGCCCCATGAATATACTGTGTGTGAAAGCCTACAGTTACAGCTGCAGTGGGTGCCATCTATTGACTGGAAACCTCTGACAATGTGTGGGCGTGCATTGCCCAACTCTCCCGCATCCAAGTAATCACAGCTTACTCCGCCATTGCACAGGGCTGTAAATATATATCCCCCCCCCCCCCCCGTCACCTCGACCAGCAGCAATACCAAACAAACCTCTGGAGGATGGCCAGTGATGGGCAGCTCAGCCTTGGCCGGACCACGGGGAGCCAGCTGCCCTGTACACGTCGGGAGTGTAAATTCCCCCAAGCAAACAAACAGCCAGTTGTCAGGGGTAGCTGGACAAGCTGGAGAGCATATATGTGTGTGTGTGTGTGGGGAGGATGAAAAAAAGGGGAGATTGTTGGGTTTGCAGGATACAAGGTCAAGGAGCACCAAGGCTACAAGCCAATTAGACTGAACACTAGCCAGTTGGAAACTGGAGGTAATGTAGACCTGATGCTCTTTGATATGTTCTACTTCCTGGCTTGGCACAATGTTATTCTGAGTAGTAGCTGTGGTTCTAATATTTGTATCCAGTTACATGATTATTAAATATTTTACAAGGCCTGGGAGGTTTTAACCAAGATGAGTGATGATGATGCACACAGTGGGAACGGAGACACAGCCTTATCTTGTAAAATAGGCCACACAACGTCTCATCACTGCCATTCTCACAGACCAAATCATCACCACCCTCTCCGTCCCGAATGGGAGGAAGCACACAAAAGAGCCGTTCTCACAACAAGCGAGCACTGCAGCAGTGCCGGGGCTTTGAAAAAGTCAACGTCTGATCTGCTACACAGTCCGGCACAGACATAAAGGCTGCAGGTCGTGCAGTCAGTTTGTTTTTCTCCTTCGTAAATGACTTAATAAATGATCATATTACAACCAGAACAGGAATCGGCTCTTTACAAATACAGATTTAAAAAAAATCGACTTCCACTGTTCCTCCAGAGGCACAGACGCAAGATTTGACTTGTTTTGGAAGCAGACGGCTAAATCAAATCTATATATTAAGTTACCACATTAGCTGAAATCGAATGAAGACGATCCAGCTGAAAATATGGTGTGTTGACGCAGCTGAGGGACAGTTACGTAGCTTGTTTGGTTTGTTGATTTCCAGTTGTTGCCATGGTTGACTTCTTATCTTTCCATTTTAATTCCATTTAAATTCTCATAGTGTTAACATGTTAAGATAAACAGCCTAGAGACAAAAAAAAACCTGCTCTTCTTATTTTATAGTTTGTGTCGGAAGCCAAATAAAACCCCAAAACCTAAGAAACCTTTTTTTTTTTTTTTTACCCCAACCATGTACACTTACACCGACTCCTTCTCGTTAACAGCACTTAACATGTATAACAATCCAACACCTCCATTCCTAAAAGACGTTTAGCTGCACTCTGTTAAAGCTCTAGATGTAAAGGTCTACCCCGGGTAGTGAAAACAAGTTGCAGACAGGGTGGGACAAGATGATCACTCTGGGGGGGGGACGACATTGACACAACAATCATGATCTTTGAAATAAGCACCCAATGTTTTCTGTAAGCATGTTTCCTCAAAACAAGTCTCATGAGCATTATACTATAACCTGCCGATTTGTGAATGGTCATGAGAGATTCGTTTTGCTTCACAATGAACCTCACTGTTTAGCTATAAATACTGCAGTGAGGGCTTGCCATTATGAGTGTAACTTCACCCCCAGGTCTGAGCCTAATCCACCCGCTGAAAACAAAAAAAAGTGGGCAAGGAGCTGAGAGATGAAACACCGGCAACATCCGTTTTTTGAGCAATTTTCATGTCACCAGCAGAGTGTGCAGCACCTCAACCAGGCCAGTTTGGTGCCTGACGTCAGTCGTCTTTTAATACAGTTCCTCTGCATACCTGGCTGACATTCAACATGTTATTCAAAAAGGTACAATGACGAATGACACACGTGAAAACAATTGCTCCAGTAGCTTCTTCATTTTTTTCAATGAAGCAACAGGGATGAAACATGGCTGCCGGTGGATACAGACAGTAGAAGCAGAAAGTTCCAAGTCCACATCTGCCAACATGAATGATCTGAAGTCCAGAATGAGAAACAAGCAGTGGGGTTGTTTTCAGTGTTTTTCTGTCCAGTGAAATGAGTGGGTGTGAACCATGTAATAACAAGTCCTCTTTCCCTGGGGAAGTTACCAAAACAACAGCTCTGCTGGGTATGCAGGGCCATCCTCAGACCACCAACCTTCCAGCTGAGCCGCAGGCAACATCACACAGCATCTCCCCAACAGTTTCTGGTAAGAGTGGTGACTTTAAGTCTGCAAAGCCTCTAGTATCTGTTAACAGGTTTTAAATGCTGCGTAACCAAGTAGAACTGAAACCGTCAGTCACTATCGATGAGTCAGTGACGCCTTAAGCGGTTAAAACATCAGTACCACTGAAAGTCACGATGGAGAGAAAAACCTAAATTAAAAAAAATCTATTTATATTAACTTTCTATAATAAAAAGCAGCCTGCACACATTTGGTGATTTTAACTACTGCATTTGTGTTTACCCACTCTCCTCCCTGAATACACACTCCAAAACACCACCCACCCCTGACTGTTGTGCAACCTCGAAAATACCTGTATACCATCCCAACATGAAGCAATATCTTTGGCAAATTCAAGTTACCAACTTCTCCCTACTGAGGCTTCCTACTGTAGTTCAATTATCTACTGTGATTTATGTGAAGATGGTAACCTGAGGAAGGGACTCTGATTTAGTGTGATCCCCCATCTACATGATAAGAACAGCAAGAGCTCTTCAGTGAGTCCATTTATCGCAAAAGCCTATTCTCCAACATTTCCACATCGTGAACCAAAGATAAGGAGTTAGGGGGAAAAGGTATGTTTTTAAACCAATCACCCATCTAGTAGGACGCCTGAAAGAGACAACTGCATCAAGCTCAACCTTTAAAGCCGAGTTGGGAATATGAAGTAAAGGCTGTCTCAGAGGGCAGAGAGACGGAGAGACAGAGAGAGACAGAGAGACAGAGAGAGACAGAGAGAGAGAGAGAGAGAGAGAGAGGAGTGTTTGTGTAATTTGAACAGAAGCAGCCAAACAGGACGACTTTTCTTGTTTAACTTGTGTTCACGCAGAGCCTGGGAACACAGCCTCACACAGAGGGTTTTGCTAATTTAGAAGATGTACAAGGTAGACCGACCCCTTCAAATTTAGGAGTGCAACTGGTAATCACTTCTCGCCAAGCGCAACGTAGTCCAACCTTGAAATAGCCCAACCAGTTTCAAACCAATGCTGACCATTTGTGTCGCACACTGCGTAGGAAAAAGCCACAGAACTGGTTTCTAAACACAAGGGGGGCTTTTATCTGTGTGCATGATAAATTGCAGGTGTGTTATCTTGTAGGGTGCTCCGGGATCAGATTTTGCAAGAAAGTGGGAATGTCGAAATGAGTTACAGTTAAGTCTTTTAAAAAATATACAAAAAGGTTAATTTAAGGCCCCGCAGAATGGACCCACTATAAACACAGATTCCCTGCAGAGGAAGCACACACCACTTAGGTAAAGTAAACCGGAGGCACAAACTGACTGATTTGAGAGGACAATACGTTGCTTATATGGTGCACACTCCTTCTACTTACTAAACAAAAGTCAGCCAGAAAAGGTAGGACAGGGTCAGGTATTTATGGAGGGGAACTAGTCAGAACCTCAAAAGTAATAGCAGTCATTCCAACCTGCAAGCCATTCTCTAGACACCCTGAGGCTTAACATGGCACACACAGGAAAGGTGTAACGAGCCTCCTGTCACACTGGAGGAAATGTGGCCATGCAAAGCAATTATACTGTGCTGTAAAAAAAGAAAAGCCTTCTAGACTAACTGGATTCATTAAAGGCAGTAAATCACCCAAAACGATAGGAAGTCTAATCTCTGCACTCTGCACTAGCAACGCCAGTGTTTTGGAAAAAAAGTTCTGTGTTTGAATATCCAGTGAAGTGTATTTTAATTGGGAATGGGCGTGAACACACACACACACACACACACACACACACACACACAGAATAAGTGTATCAAGGTCTCTGTCAGTGGTCGCTGGTATGCTTTAGCATTTACAGAATGTTATTTATAATGTCACTTTAAAAACCTATGCAGGATGGGTTCAGTCTAATATAACTTAACACTGACACATTTAAACGAGATATATAGTTCAAATACTTGTAATTTCATATATACGGCACCCTTTATCCAGAGTGCGTTACATACATACATACATACATACATACATACATACATACATACATACATACATATGTTACGCTAACGTTGGCTGTTCACATACTCGACTGGTCAATGAAAGCGGTTCTATTCCAGCAAATAGTCATCCCCCTGACAAGACAGTACCATTATGACGCTCGTTTATGACTTCGGCGTATCCCCGGTGGACGGGGCTAAAACCGCTCTCACTACTGGAAACATTTCACAGACTCCAAGTCACAACACCGCCCCGGCTAGGAGTGCCAAGTTGCCGAAACGTGATGAACTTAACATCGCTCCAGAGTGAGAAGATGCCGGAGCCTGTGTTAGCCGTGACAAGCCTCAGACTGTCGGTTCACGTATACGTTAAAGCTAACAAAGCTATGGATCACCTACCAATCACCTCGTGCAGCTCATAATCATCTTTGTTGATGGACCAGGTTTGGGAGCTCAGGTCCTCCGACATGGCTGAGGAGAATGCCGAGGCCGTCCTATCTCTAGAGAGGTGGTGAATCCAAAGACCGTGCGTAAAAAGAAGTCAAAGTAATCCAAACAGGACCAACGAGGGCGACACTTCCCCTTCTTATCGAATCCTGCAGCACTCCTGTCATTCCCAAAGTTTGACACGAGCGTAACAGCCCCGCCTACCGCATTCCTACTGAGCAAACGTAGACCTTCCCGGCGGACATATTGAGTGTGGGACCGCAAAGTGCTCCAGTGAAGTCATTCAGGGAGAAACTAGCGGTTTGGGCTACAGCTGAATACACTGCGATACATACAGTAACCGTTCAAAAAACGGTAGCTACATACATCCAGACTTTTGCATACAATTAGATCCGGGAATTTTACTGTATGTGTAAAAGCAGGCGCTACAACGAGTGTGCAAATATTAGGTAAAAGGGCTATAAACCTATGGGTAAATAATGCCCCAAAAACGAGTCAAGCCTTTGGGTTCCGCCACAGATTTAATGGCGGGTTGCTTTACAAAGGATTTAATTTGCCTAGATTTGAGCCTAGCAGGCATTCGTTCTTCTCCTAAAGCAAACAAACCAAATATGTGTTGCTCACATTAACCTACAGCACTCTCGGTTCTTTCTCACCCAGAACAATTTCATTCATTTGGGCACGTTTAGTCATTAAATGGGTTGGGAAGTTCTACCTGACAAACTATACTCAGGGCCAAAAATGTCTCACTATAGGAGACATTCTGTCCTCTGATTGGACAGGACACAAATACACTGCTCTGTGATTGGATGATCATGTGTTAACTGTAAAACGAGTCTTTTTTACAGCATTCAATTAGCGACACCTCCGTTGGTTAATTTTATAACACGCAGGACTTTGCACAATCGCGACACATGCTGGAGAACATCAGAACATATTGTGCTTTTGTAACAGAATAAAATACTTTTTTTTATTTTTTTACATAAAAGTAAAATGCCCTTGAAAAATGTGTTAAAATTATTTTGAGGAAATAATATTCAGACCATTTATTCAATGTAGAATAAATTCATTTTAATAAACTGTTCTGAAAAGACCATATCAAAAGTACAAAATCAAGTGTAAAGACATCATTGAGACAGACAGAGAAAGCGAGAAAGGCAGGTGTCAGCAGTCAGTAAAATTGAACAAGTGGAAGAATCACAATATCTCTTCCTCTTAGGCTCCAATCTCACCTAGAAGTTGAGTCTCAAGAGGAAGTGGCCAGCGCAAAAAACACCACAACTCTATCATAGAGCATTTAGTACAGACTGCCCCGAAAACAAACACATCCTGTTAGCCAATAAATACAAAACAGCGACAGGCACAACTTCCTCTTGAAATAAAATCATGGCTTTGTGCAGTGAGAACTTTGCTGATATTTGGTATCCTTGTGCAGCGTTTTATAGTGACAATATCCAGAAATCACTATTTCATCTTCCTAGGAAACACAAATAGTTTCCACCATAATGTACTGTATATCGTATAAACTCAGCATGTGTTCAGAAACCAGCAGGACATGGATCACAAGCAATGGTGTATACTGTGATGTTTGGTCATTATCCAAACCTTATCCCGACCTTTAAACACAATTTACTGCCTGGTCCATGGTTATGGCAGTGAGAGAGCTTTCCCCAGCCGTATCCAGAACCAGGCCTGAGTGCAGGGCCGAGTGTAGTCACATATGGTGAGGAAGCGTAAGATGCTGGGGAACGGCTTTGTCATGGGCTTGTACATCACTGGAATAAGCCGTTTACTTTGAGCTCCTGAAACAGAAGAAAGAAGGAAAAAGGTAAGTTACATACATGCGCAGGCATATGTCGGATAAAAAGGGAGCTGTTAGACATAACATAAATGCAACTTACCGGGACAGAGACTGAGAGCAAACTTGGTCTGAAAGTCACAGGCATCGCTGTCGAGGTATTCGTCAGAGATCACCACCACCATCCTCTTACACCTGCACAGAATAGCCAATATAGAAATGAGGGAGATTTTAAGACGGAAAACTTTGATTTCTTGCTCTCTGGTGGCTTTCTATATCTAAAGCCAAAATGAAACCGTCATTAGGAAAGTTTAGCTTTCTGCTGTAACTGAAACTTTCACGTCTTTTGTGTATGGGAACTTTCAATATAAAAAATGTTTTCCCCCCCCATACAGATTATTAACGGAGCCATATAGAAGGTAGAATATATTGTGTTAACTGTTAATGAGCAGCAGCAGCAGCAGGCCTGGTTTATATCGGTCCTGGCACACAGAAGTCTGCGTTGCATCGCAAAAGGGAGCGTGCTTTGGCCTCCCCAGTTTGTTTGAACTGGCCAGATAACCAGAGCAAACACGGTCAGCGCGTGTCCATATCCCACCTCTTCTCAATGAGCTCACTCGTGATGGACCACACACAGGAGCCGGGGAGGACATCTCGGTCGAACACACACAGCTTCAGCTTGTACTCGGTCTGTTCCAGCTCGCGGATCATCTCACAGACAAACTGAAAGTCCTTCTGGCAGTAGCAGATGAAGGCATCAAACATCTCAGGAGCACCTGGATTCAATTCAGTCAGATTAAATTCAATAACACATATTTAATCACCAGGAAGCAAAACATGAGCATGACTGTGCAGCTGTGCAGCCGTGAGTGATTAGTGAGATTAGGATTAGAAAACATGTGCTGAAAGCTTTTGCTGTGCAATGCCTTACCACAGAAGATGAAGCCGCTATCACTATCTCAAATCTGACTTGAGCTGATGTAAGTGCTATGATAACTGCATCGCAAAGTCACACATTTATAATATCTTCGCCCCCACATGACATTTTGCGGGTCATGAAGACTTGTCATGAAGAACAAGACAGGTAGTGTTTTTAAACATTATAAACTATTGATTGTTTGCAACCTAAAGTCATTCTAATTATTGAAGGTGTCTATTTCATTTTCACTTTTCATCTTGCATTTATGCATACTCATAATCTGTTCTCTTGCAGTTGGACAGCCCTCTAACAAGTCAGGCACGACATATGTAAACAAACTTTTAGCTTATACATTGATCATAACATTAACCACCGCTCAAAGTGTAGCTGACTGTAACACAACACAACACTGTCCGGCAATTTTGTTATTACCAGTGGTGGAAGAAGGAAGCAAATCCTTTACTTGAGCAAAAGTATTAATACGATATCATCTAAATGTACTTACTTATTCACATTTTATCAGAAAAGTTTAGTCATTTTCCAAAATGTCCTCATTTAGAGTGTTATAACATGATTGGATTATTATTACAGGTGTATTAACATGTAATCAGCATTTTACTGTTGCAGTTGGTTCGTTATATACTTTTGGGCCTTTCGTCATATTTTGTCTGATTATGTTTTCTGTGTAAAAAAATCTGCAAAGTACCTAACTCCAGCTGTCAGATGAATGTAGTGGAGATAAAAGTACAATATTACAACAATAGAGTGGAGTGGTATAAAGCTGTAAAAAAAATAGAAATATTCAAGTAAAGTGCTTCAAAATTGTATCTACTTTTGTAAATGTACTTTGTTTCATCACTGGCCAGAACGAATGAATTCATCTTATGCAACCTAAAAGGCAGCTCTACTGTGGCAACAGTGTCATGCAACTTGAGAAGCACAGATTAGTTGAATTACTGCGAGTGTTGCACAGCAGTTTTCTGGTTTGTATTAGTTTTTCTTGATGCAAACAAAGATACGAAGCTCAAAGATATACCGACCATCAGGGTCGTCCTCCAGGGTGAGACCAATCCTCTCCGGGGTGCGAGCGTGACAGCTGTCCACCTCTGGGACCTGAAGAGGGGGTTTAGCATTCTTCTTCCGTTTCTCACAATACTTCCTGACATCCACATCTGGGACGAAGAAAGATGTGCATGTGAATTACAGCACACATACACACACGCAGAGACACGCACGCACAAGTTTGCATACAATAATTTGGGCCAGATGTTATAGAAAGTTTTTTTTTTTAGCACAAATGTGTTGTCATACTGGTGAAATATAGATACATTGGAGTTATCCTGCACATGTACACTCATACATTCAGAATTCTTGTATTAGTCGATTTTGTAATATGAAAGTTCAAGCATGTGAATCACTTCCTGAAGTAGCTCTAGGGGCAGGAGGGGCGGTAAAAAAAATAAGCTTATACGATAAGTTAGTGCCTCTTATGTTGGGTACTTGTGCCCATGATACACGCATTTACAACCAAAATCCCAATGACACCAACGCACCCATCAGAGGACGGAGATCCTCCACGATGTCTCCCCTCTCCACCTCCTCCAGGATCGACAGCAGCTTCCCGACCGTCGCGTCAGTGGAGCGGGCCTGCCATTCCTCCAAGACGAACTCGGTGGGACTTTTTGACACCCCGTAGTTCTTTATCTCCAGGTAATTGAAGCCCATGGCCTCTGCCACGTCCATCCAGTCCGCGGCCACTGCGTTTCTCGGGTTCAGGTACAGTGCCAACTTTTTCCGCACACTCATGTTCAGCGCAACGGGAGGAACCGTCCACAAATCAAATTCGGAATCGACGCAAGCCATGGTCGAAAGTTTTCCCGGAGACGACATGCTTTAGTTAAAACACAAAACAGGGTGACATTGTAACGAAAACACAGCGTGATATGACGTTCTAAGTCCGGCGTCTAACAGCCTACCTGTTAGTGGGAGCAGGAGGAAGTGATGCAAAACAGTGCGCGCTGCGTCACGCGGGGGAGGGGAGTTACTGTTTACCTTCACAGTGTCCAAAAAGTGCGCTTGCACAAGACTAGTTTTTATTTTGGTATTATCGCGTTAGAGACCGAAAACTACAGAAATATGTATATTACTGTTGAGTGCAATAGAGGGAAGTAAAGGAACTTGTTGGTGGAAAATTTCCACTGGAAATATAGTTAATCTGTGTTGAAGTGTTTCTGTTAGATCGACTCTACCTCCTTGTGTGATAAAACCTCATTGCAGAACAAAATCTCTTCATTTAGCAATTTTATTTGATAACCGTCACATATAGGCTACCTCTGTCAATGAATACAAATAAACTGTATATCCAAACAGACATAAAAAGAGAGCAAGAAAAAAAAAAATATCTGCACAAAAACGATCAGCAGATAAATGTTCCACTGCATCAAACTAAAAACCACATTGCAGCTTTATCGGTTGCTGCAGTCTAACAGGAAACAAGTCCATAAAAGGCGCTTTATGGGGCTATTCTTTTTCCAAGAACTGATGGCATGTGGGTAGATCAGACATGTTCCAGCAGAACATGCATTTCCTCAAATGCTAATCGGACAACTTCCCTCAATCAACATGACAGTGTGCACAACACAGATTTTACAGCAACAGTCCCAAGTTTGCATCACTGGAGCTTCCATCCTCTGAGCATCCGTCCATGTGTTCAGTGTTTGCTTTCACAGGTTTTTGCTTCTGGAGAAATAAAAATCAATGCCTCGGTCCCGATGTTGTTTGGAAGTGTGAGATGGGCCCTTCTTTCCTCTCGGCGAAGGCCCCGTGCCACTCTGACAAAAACAGGAAAACAAACATTTGCCTTTACTGTGATGTTTTAAAAGGCAACATTTCCTGTTTCAACCATTAAGTATTCTTGTTTGCCAGAGGTGGAATACATATTCAGAGCCTTTACTTATGTATAAATACGCCATTACAAGTAAAGTACTGCATTCAAAATCGTACTTTAGTAATTAAATGTTGCTGATGATTAACTTGTACTTAAGTATTAAAAGTAAAAGTACTCTTTCTGCAGAAAAATGGCTCATGTGAGTATATCTATCCACTTCCCTTTTCTCAAGCACTCACTGGTTTCTTGTTAACGTGTCTGCTCCATTCAGGAGCCATCACGATGGGGGTGGGGTAGGTCTCACCGAGGGTCACATGAGCGTGCGACAGCGAAGCGGTGCTGAGGGTCCAGGGCGCGTGCACGTCAGCTCCCCTGATCCCCTGCAGCTCAGGAACCCACTGCCGCACATAGTCGCCCTAAAGCGGACGCACGTTTAACCAAAACACCCATCAGCGACTGAAATCTCCAACAATGGCAAGCTCCAAAACAAAAAAAGTCAAAAGGGAAATGAAACAAAAAATTCATGCATCTTCTCAAACATACATTGTTGTCGTAGTCGAGGCCTTGCTTGATCATGTTGAACTTCCTGTTCTCTCTGGGGTCATTTCCTATGCCAGCGCTGTACAGCCAGTTGCCATAGTTGCTGCAGACATCATGGTCAATCTTTGGAGGAAAATTTTAAATGAAAGATGGAAAGGCACTTGTGAGTATCATCATCTACACAGAAAATAAAAAGACTCAGGTACTTGTCAATAGATAAATCTATTTGTTAAATGTCTTAAAAATATAATTCCTCTTTTTGAAAGTTAAAACCTACTTACCAGAAGGTATTCAAACAGCTCAGCTCCCATCCTCCAGTCCAGGCCCAAGTCTTTAGTGAGGAAGCTAGCAACATTCTGCCGCCCCCTGTTGGACATAAAGCCCGTCATCGCCAACTCTCTCATGTTGGCATCCACGAAGGGCACTCCTGTTCGTCCTTCTGTAATGATACATATTTTCAGCGACACTGTACATACACTATATATGCGCCTCTTTAAAGACAATACTTGATTTTACATTTTGTGAACTTAAGAGGAAAAATGGTGCAAACCTTTCCAAGCATTGAACAGCCCCATGTCCTTTTTCCATGGAACAGATTTTTCTTGAAGTCCTGAGATGAAATTACCATGAGCTTTACATTCATTTCTAGTGTTTGAAAAAAAAAAAAAGAAAATGTTGAATACATTTGCTAATTTTACCTTTGATCTGAAACAGTCTGTTTCCGTACTTGACGCCTACAAACTTGAAGTAATCCCTCCACAAAAGTTGAAAAATGACCCTGAAAGACAGAAATAAGGACAAATGTGTATTAGTTGTGACAAAACAATGGCCTATGATTGAGTAGATTTTATTTTCTACTGTTTTGTATCTCACTCATCTCCAGACTCACCAATATGTGCTCTGATTGGCTGTTCGCTCCCTCTCATACTGCTGGATCTGATGATAAATATACCTGGGGGAAAGGCAACCCATCGCCAGCCTGCAGAATGCCAGAGGAGCACCGTTAGTGATAGGAATGGAACATTAAACTCTAGTAAGCATTCAGCAGGAGAGGAAACGATACAATAACACTCACCACGGTGCAAATTTAGTGGAATAATCGGCACCAATCAAGCCATTACGAGTCTCCTTGTAGGTTGCAACTGCATCCTACAAAACAGAAAACATATATTTATTACACCTATAATACATCACCATATGAGTTCGTTTTTTTTTGCCATTTTGTAAGCAGCAAACTAGTGCCTGTTTGTAATGACGCTGTACTCACAGTGTCACAGAAATAGTGTTTGAGTCTGGCCAGAGCCTGACTTTCACCACCACTGCAGGGGAAGGCTGAGCGAGGATCAGCCGCAGGCTCTAGGAGAATAAAGCAAGGCAAGAATTTCAGCATCCGGCTGATTTCATACATGTTAAACTGTCCCTGATGTGCATTAAGACACGCAGAAGCATAAAAGCGTAATAATGTACATGGAAATCGAGCCGGTCTGCTCGCTCGCCGGCACTTAATGAGGAAATCTGTGCTCAGCAGTCTGCCTATTGGATTCTGAAAGTAGCAGCAGTGTCGATTTACTTAATAGAGGCACTGCATAAAATGAGCAATTTGTGCCTCCTTACTGCCAGCAGCATGTACAGACATTTATGCAAAAGTCAATTTAATAAGCACATAAAATAAAAACACAGGGATATATCGTACTGATACTGATATCAGTCTGTTCCAGGTCCTCCGCTGTTGGAATGGCTCCTTCCTCCAACCCTTGGGGGAGCGGCTTTAGCTGCTCAGGGGTTGGGAACAGAGGCCTCACTTTGCTCTGGGTCTCCACTGCCTTCCTGAACTCAGTGTACACATCAGGCAGCCTAACAAACCAGGAAGAAATGCTCTTAATCTGCATTTCCCACAAAAAAACTGCCAGAATCAAAAACAGGACGTTCAGCAAGAACATGGATGCTTTGTCCCAGGCGAGCCATATCCTCTCTCTCACCTGGACATGTTGTGAAATGGAAGATCATCTCTGTGGTACAGTGTCGACCCCCAGCAGGTGTGAACTTTCACCTTCATCTGTGCACAGACATCCTTCACTCGTTTCTCCACATTCAGTTCTTCCGAGGTCACCTGGAACATGAGTGCATGAAGTAACAACTGTCAAAATCGCTAGCGGATGTAATTAAAACGTGATCATTTTATTAAGAGAAGGAATGTTTGAAACTACCTCTTCATGGAACGCCACAGTGCAGACAGAGCCCAGTTGCTTGATGAGGTCTGCAACTACCTCCTCTGGTTTACCCCGTCTCACCACGAGGTTGCTGTCACAAACACATACACACAAAGTAAGTCCCAGACCATGCAAGCTGCATCCTGGGTAGAGAGCTAGCAACTTCCCCCTCACTGACCTGAAAGAATGATGGCAACAGTGTGTGCCGGACCCCTGTTAACATCAACATAACCTTCTAGAAGCTCAGGTGTGTCCTGATCCTGTTACAACTGAATCAACTAAATCCTAGAAAGCTGAGGACAAGATCTGTACCAAGTGTATGTGTAACAACAATATAATACACAAGTTCATGATCATTTTTAAATCTTGTAAAGAGATTATGGGTTTTTTAAATCTATAACAAAGACAGATCTACACTGTGGAGATATTCAGCAACATAAATAAAGCAGTAGAAGACACATGAATTGAGGTTATATACAGGAAGACCAGTCAACGAACAGCTGTTTAGTTACCTGCCCTTGCTGAGCATTGTGTTTCTAAGGTCCCTGATACTCTCCAGTAAGAAGTGCAGGCGGAAGGGGCCAGTCTTTGGTAGGTTGTAGTTGTACGTTCCCACATAATGTCTGGGGTCGAAGCAGTACAGTGGGACAATGTACTCTGCATTTCTTTGGGCCCAGTGGAAGAGCTGCATGTAGAGAGCACAAAGTATGGGACATACTATGATCTCTGAGGAAAAGTGACCATGGACTAATTGCAGCAAACACTTAAAAACAGTCAATTTAATTATTTGAGCAAACTGTTTTGGAATTAAAAATGTGACTACACAACTACACCATGCCAGCTAAAGCTAAAAACACACAACCTGAAATCTAAATTGCTGTTTCAGGGACACTAAAAGTAAACAGATGTATTTTCTTGTCAGTTTGGAAAATGTCGTCTTTTATTTTGAAAAGTTCAACCAGAAGTCGTAACGTTACATGTTGATGTCAACCTTCTCCAGTATGGCTGACTGACTGAAAAAAATGTAGTTTTGTCTTACAAAGCGAGGGGATAAAAGGCAGGAACTGTTTCTTAAAAACATAATCTGTGCAGTTCCTGTTATAAACTCAAAATTCCTGGTCATTTAACTGTGAAGAAGAGGCTTTAAATTATCAAGGAAGACAAACCGGAAGTAGCGTTGTTGTTGCTGGCGAAACAAAAGTAGCTTGATGCTAACTACAAATATACTAACTTAGCTAGCTACATATTATGCTGAAAATGTTCTCGTGTTGACGGTGACAAAGCAAATACTACATGCACACACAACGTTCAACAGACACGTTTACTTGCAGGTTAAATAGGTGCTCT